ATCCAAGCATCCACTCGCCTTTAACTCCAATCAGAGCTTAAAGCTTAAGTCTTGTCACACAGTGATGGGATACAAAATGTACATTGATGACATTAAGATGTAGAGATTGTTTTAAATCCTTTGTAGAATTCTTTTTTTAAACATTTAACCCTAATTTAACTATGGACCTTTGTGTCTGAGTTGTTAAATACTTAGCTTTGGAACCATGACTCCTAAGTTTCTTTTTATGTTTTCCCCAATGGCTTCCTGTTATATTTGAATGTTTCTTGTCATATACCCTTACTTACTTTGTTATTGATACATGTATATGTGTATAGATATTCAGTAATTACTAAACCTCTAATACCTGTTCTATACTTTTCCAGACAGTGCCTGAACACCTGCGAATGGACCCCACATACACAGAAGATGACAGTACATGGATAATACCAACAATACCAGTATTGCCAGAATAATATATCTTTCTGAATGTGCTGGCAATACCAGTATTGCCTGAATAGTATATCCTTCTGGATGTGCTGTCAATACCTGAATTGCCTGAACAGTTTATCTTTCTGGATGTGCTGGCAATACCAGTATAGCCTCAGTACTATATCTTATGTGCCACAGTTGGAGGACTAACACTTTTTTCCCTCACTCAAGCCTGGAGCTTGCATTAGTTTTTTTCACATCTGCTAATAGAAATATGGATCATTTATTGTTGTCCTTTCAAACATTGCCATTCTAGAAGTCAAACTCTTCAACTAGATCAATGTTGGGAATGAGCCGTTGACTTTTTTTGAACACTTGATTTTAGAAAGATTAAAAGTATGTGACATAGTACTTAACAGAAAAAATTCCTTTAAAGAGATTATGAAAACCTTAAAAACAATTTAAAGCTTAAGGACAGTAAACAGATTTGAACAAAAAAAGGACATTAAACCATACTGGCATCATGTACTCAAATGGACAAATTTAATGTGACAGACACTAGCCAAGATAGCTTTCTTCATCAATTTTTTTATCAATGTTAACAACTATTTGGAAGTTTGTGAAATGCCATCTGATGACCTAGTCTTATTACCTTCATAATTTCAGCTCTGATTTAAGCCAATCGTTAAGCTGCATGAGTGTGTCTTGTTTCCTAGGCTTGATCATACGGAAGTGTGTGATCGCCAAAGATCAAGACACATGAGGCTTTTGTGCTTAGACTACGGGTAGACCTTAATTGTTTTATTATATTGGCTGTTCTTAGGAATGAAGCATCAATCTATAGACCTTAATTGTTTTATTATATTGGCTGTTCTTAGGAATGAAGCATCAATCTAAGCAGTTCATTTTATTTGCATTGTGATAATGTTATTAGAGTACATTCATCTTGATATTATCTCATTTCCCAATCTATGTGTCCTTCTGTCCATTAAATACTAATCTTGCCTGTCCTGCATATTATTGTGAGTTAGTTTTTTTTAATCATATGATAAAAATAATAAAATATAAACATAATCAAGATTTTTAAAACATATAATAATAATAATTTAATTTACAGAGCTCTGTTAACAAATATAATGTATACTCAAGGCTCTCTGTAATATTACAAACATAAACTCCAGAAGAATAACAAACTAATCTAAAAAAAAATTTGAGCTATATAAAAAAAAAATATGGATATTAGATAGTTTTACATTGATATTTGGGAAGTAATAACAAATATTACATTAGTCATGATATTTCTATAGCTGTATGCTTCATCATAAATGGTGCAATTTAGTGTACAATGGCACAGAAATCTCAAACATTATATTATTATTTAGAGTTAAATTTTGGTGGCTCTATTTAAAGACAAATCATAATGTGATATGACTACAGAATTATGAGTGTGGCCTTGACTTTGACATTTTCTTTAGAATGTTGCAGAATTAATTTGTTTAAAAATTGATTATGAACACAATCATTTGTATGAATGTCTTATTTCTATTGATAGAAGTTTAAATTATTTTTTCTATTTATATATTTGTATCCAATTAATGTATTGCAGTTATATTTTAAACTGTGAATATCATTTCATCATAATAGTTGTGAAACAGCAATGAAATCCTTGGAAACTAGTCTTTAATTGTTAATGTTGTAGTCAAAGACCAAGTCCAGTAGTAATTAATATTAAATGTATATAGAATGTAATCTCCAAATAAATAAATTTTACAAGGATGTGTAGACAGTATTACAATAGAAGTTTACACTTGTGAGTGTTATTATACTTTTAGAAAGAAGTCTGTGTTGTGTAACATGATACTTTAGCAAGATTTCCTTAGGGGGTTGGGCTGAAGTTATTTGTGGTAACATATTATTGAAGAAGTTATGTAAAATCAATATTCCTGGAAATTTAAAGCATTGCTGTAGAAATGAAAAAGATATTCACCCTATTCCCTAATTTTTGTTGAGCATTTGGAGCACTATATGTGATGTGTCGACTGTCTTTTGCCTTGAATAGAATCTTTTTCAATGTCCATTCTTTAATGCTGTCTTCTCATTGCTTTCTCTATCTGCCTCCTGGTTCTGTTCCCTGAACCCTCAGGGCTGGCAAGAAAATTAAATTTTCTCCAACATGGCCTATATTTCTAATTGAAGGTAGACTAAGCAACTTTAGTTAGAGTTGTCAGATATTGTCAAGATTTGTTAAGCGTGTTATCAGTTATGTCAACAGCATATCATCCACAATAGATTTATCGTTGCCAGATTCCAGTAGACATAGCATTTGAATCATCAGGTATGATCAGTAACAGACTCATCATAATTTTACAGTGTCTTTCTAAAGCAAGCTATGTTATGCAATTCATATGTAGACAAAACTTATTATTATTATTTTGTGTGTAATGTACTAAAAAAAAACAACACTATTTCAATTTGTAAAGTAGGCAACACTCTCTTTTAAAAAAAAATATATATGTGAACAACATTTTAAAATGGAAATTGAGAAAGACATTTAGTTACCAATTATTAGGCCATTTGAATTTTGACATATATTAACTTGGATACTGTATAATCAGCTCAATTCATTTCAATTTTAGCACATAGTGTTTTGTGCCTCATTGGAGCTAAAAGGAACAATTTGTTTTTTTTTCAAATATCCAGCATTGAACCTACAACTATTTTATATACTATAGTTACTTACTATAAACATAACACATTTATTATTCAAATTATGCTACTACTTATCTTATAACATGGTTTATTTGTGAGGCACAATATTTGGCCTTTAATTATGTGCCTTTACTCTGTCATCAGGTCCATTTGGTGTTTATAAAGTACAAAAACAAGTAAACCTTAGGTCCACCATTCAATGTTATGTCTACAATTACATGAACACCTTTGAAAACTGTCCTGGTGTTTCGTTTGAAGACTGTCCTTTTTAACATTAAGCATTTATAATTACATTTATTGTATTTCATGGCTAAAACGTGAGATAGAGTCCATAAGAATTGGACTTTTGCCAAGTCCCATGAAATCCTATGGCCTCTGAGAAAGTTTTCTTAAAGTGGTCAGGGCTGAAGCTTTGATTCTCAAGGTTCATTCATGGTTTGTCAAATGTTTGACATGTTTCTGATGTTCCTTCAGAGTTGAAGGTAATCTGCTTCCTAGTCCAAACCTCCCGCAGGATGTTGTGGGGTGATAGTGGGCAGGGCATGAACACTGGCCCACCGAGACAACTGAACAACAGTCCAGCATGCATGCAGCATGGCCATCTTCCTAATTTTTTAAAAATTATAATACCGCAAACTTTTTGGTTGGAAAGGACAAACAAATACTGGGGTTACTGAGAAGGGTGGTAAGTAGAATTCTGTAAAACACTTGGCTTCTAAAACAAAATGTCTTCACACATTTAGAAGTTAGAATTCCATGTAAGATGCAGATTTTTAAATTATGGATTTTTTTAGGATGCTCGTGTGTCCAGCCATCTCCAACCTGACCTACATTTGAAACATTAATGTCATTGTTCTGGTCACATGACATCCTTATTAACCATTGGCCATAGAAATACATGAGCTTTACATCATCTGTCCCTATAGATTTCGCTAGGTCTGAAAGGTGTACCTTTACATACTATTTTTAATGTATATATATTAGTATTTTATAGAAGAAATGGGTAAAAGAGGAAATGAACTTTTTTTGTATGTTCATCATATCTTTAGTAACAAGGAAACCCAAGTCTTTGATATATCATTGTGAGAACTTATTGTGTCTTGAAATGTTTTGTTTCTGATACAATAAGATTGTATAATGCAGTGAAGAAAGAAAAAAAATATTATTGTTCATGTATGTGCATCCTTGGTTGTGTGCGTGTGTGTGTGGCTGTCTGTGGGAGTCTGGTGCATCTTGCAGATGAAGTTCATTGTTATCCTTGGTTGTGTATGTGTGTGTGTGGCTGTCTCTGGGAGTCTGGTGCATCTTGCAGAATGAAAGGCGTCTGCCCTCTTCTGTAGATGACAGAAACATGGGCAGAAAACACTGTGACATGAAGACTTTTATTGCTGAGGCGTCATCTCAGCATTAAGTCTGATCAGTGCCATGAAGACTTGACTTGCTGAGGTTTTATCTCAGCTTTAAGTCTGATTTTGTTAGGAAATAATGTGGAAATGCTATTTGATATGTTGTAGTCTTTTTACTTTGTTTTGTTTTCCCGTATGAACAATTTTTGTCCTTTTTTTTTTTAATGTTGTCAACTTTTCAGAATAAGAACAATTGACTAAGTCCCCCTTGATTCCAATATTACAGCTGCCTTTTTTTTTGGCTTATATTTCTCTATATTACTCTTTTGCTACAATAATTTGATATACATTTTGCAGTAAAAGTAGAGTGTGAAAATAGGTATACCTGTTCAGCTGACATATTCATATCAAATATAAAATACTGTGAAAACTGGATTATCCGATTTGTTAAAAAAGTTTTGTTCTTTAATAAAGATATAATTAGGTACTTAGATTTAGGGCCCTGCGGTTATAGGAGAGCCTTAATCATAACATACGGTCTCCGCCATGACCTAAGGAACAATTATGCCAAGCTTTATCAAGATTGGTCAGACGGTTTTGGTTTGTACTTACATACTCTTGACATTGTGCTTTCTATTATAAGATACTGGTAGATATAGTTTTGTTTTTAGTTTTAGAAAAAATACAATGCATATACAAATGTTTAAGGTTTGTATGTTTGTAAAGTGGTTAGGTTTCTAAAATTTGTTAGGTTTGTATGTTCAGTTGATAACTTAGTTCTAAGGTGTTAGTGTTTGTTGGTTGTGCACCAGGCCTACGTGTAAGCGAGGAGTTAAATTATTATTTATGCTAATTAATCCTAGTGCGGTGGGGATATCATGAATATTTTTGTTCACGTTTTGATTGACTGATATTTGGGTCTAAAAATATCGATGGTTAAGATTTTTAGAAATACATAGGGATATTTGTGATGTGTAAGGAATGTTTTAAGCATTGGTGACAAAAAAAAATCTTTTGACATCTTCAAAATGTGAACAGCCAACACGGCACTGCAAAAAGCATTGTACCGCTTGTTTATTCATATTCGGTCATTATATTTTTAAAAAACTCATTGCTTGTAAGTTTATTTGGGTGCGTTTTTTTTATGTATATCTGGGTTTGTTATTTTTCGGCACTTGTTAAAATGTGTGAAGACATGAAAGTCTATACAGTGTGGTTTATTCTAAATGATCTTATATGTATTTTTTAAAATTGCTATAGATATATCATGTATTATAAACATAACTGTACTCATCTCACAGATTAAACAAGTCCATCTCGTATTAGAGATGATAGTTCCCTTTTTTTTGTTTGATGTGTAAGATATTTATATTTTGTATTTCATTAATCTATTAAAAGCCATGTCAAGTAAATGTGACATCATTGTGTTTTTTTTTTCCCAATGTGTATGGTCATTGGTCATCAGAGCTTAGAAATTCGATGTTTAGTAAGTCAATTATTTCAGATTTATTGGCCATGCCAATCTGAAGTGAGATATCCCTGGGCATGCTACCCTGCCTCATAGTGGCGCCCAGGTGGAAACGATCGTAGGAGGAAACGATTAGGCTAAAGGGTAGCAAAAGAAGACTCCCATGGGTGTGCCTAAGTGGGTGCGAGAGCATCCTCATTGCACTGTGCGGAGTTGTAAAAAAGTTCCCACAACCTTGTCACAATCCAGGCGCTGTTCCTCAAGGGGCCGTTACATATATGGTGTGTCCCGCGCAGTTAGCCTGGTATAGAAAAGGAAAATGGCGAGAGTCTTTGTGTACGCGGTCTCTTGACGCAAGTCTGACCCACCCGTAAGGCCGGTGAGTGGGAGCTCTTGTTCACTTTTGCTGGCCTAGAGTTCCAAGAGCCGAAGGCTCAACTCTACCTGACAGTTTAAAAAGAAGAAGTGAGAGATCTTGTTTTGTTTCTTAAAGATGGCGTTTTGTTGCCAGATAAGCTTTTACAAAAATAAATCATATCTTACAATTTATATTTCCCACTTAGATTGGAATTCGAAATCTTGAGCTGTTAAGTAAAGTAGCAATTATACATAAAACACAACCATAATCTTCAAATACAAAAACAAAATCTAATAAATACTCAGAAAGACACAAAGATAAAGGAACATTCCTTGTTCCATATGCTAGGACAAATTTGTACAAATACTCCTTCTTCTCTAGTGCTATTAGAGCATGGAATGGGTTGCCTGAGCTAGCCAGGAAAACTAATGACTTGTCAGAATTTAGATCATTGGTTAATATGCATGACACGTAGGACGTAATCATCTTTTTTTGAAGTAACATCTGTATTTTATAAGATAAGTACTTTATTAGGGCCTACGTCTAAATGTTTTTTTATGCTATTTCTCCAACTTTCGTGCGATAGACTTGATAACTCTGGTTTAATGTCACATAATGATAATAACAAATGGCAATGTCTTCCATCCCAGAGTAAGGATGAGTCCAGTGTTTCACAGACAGAACTTAATTACTTAAGGATCTTATTTAAATACAATAATAATTTGTATAATAATAATAAGTATACAATACTTTATTTGCACCGTTGTTAATGGCGCGACTTTAAACTGTATCGAATTAAAATATATTACATCTGGACAACAATATTGTTCCATCTCTGATCCGTCAAACTTGATTTCTGTTTAAATATTAGAATAACAACTTTCCAGACCCACAAAAACAATAACTGTCCTCTCAATTGCACGGTAAAAAAACTTAACAAAAAAAAAAGACTTAATTGGTTGAAATTGTATCAACTATTTTGAGCCAAACTTGTCATGCATTTTCTAACAGATGCAGTCTGGTACATTTATAAATTTGTGCGATTTGTGCAGCCAAGAGTTTTAATTAACATAATTTTGAAGACTTAGCCAGCTGTACCAAATTGCTTAGACAGGTGGATAGTTTAGAGTTTCAAAACATGTACGCAATTTTATAAAGTTCACTAAGGTAAGTAGCCTACATCGCGTAAACAAACTGAATGGTTCTCAAACATTTTTGACTCGGGACCCTTTATACAGTCTAAGCTAAGTGAAAAACTATATAATCGCATAATTGTAACATAGGTTACAAATAAAAAAAACAACATTTTATTGTAGGAGTGTTTATTGAGTTTATAACTTTTGTTTAAAATAAAATTTAAAAAATGTATTACTTGAATGTGGTTGATAAGATTTTGTGAGTGTATTTATGACCGGCACAATGTTTCTAATTAACAACCACAAATCTCAACGAGCACAAATTTCTAGTCGGTTTCTTTTCGGTGTACTGATACTCATTGTTGCAATACATTCACGATTCACCAAACAACAGCAACAAGTTCTTTACCCATAATACTGGATATAAAATTGGGATCTGTTTTTAAACCGGATTTATGTATCCTTTTTCCAACATTGGTTTTAAGTTCCTCGTTTAAGGATATTTCAATGAGCTGATTCTGTATTAACATGGATTCATCTGTGATAGCGATCTGAGTTAAAAGGTTCACTACCCAGTCGGGAATATCCAAGTGAAGAATGCCTGCAAAACTTTGGTTTATGTCGTCATACCTGTGCATAAAAGACATATTGAACAGTAATATGTGGTGATTTTTTTTAAAAATTATCCGATCAGATAATCTGGCTTTTAGTGAAGAAGTTATTTTATACAATTCTCTTTTACCTGCGGTCGTCTCGAAGACCACAGTTTGAGAACCTCTGGAATGTACGATTTGATAAGAAAATATAAACTTCCGTTTCGAGGATTATAAATACTTTGTGTCCGGTCATAATAAATGGCTATCTGTCCATGAGTACATTAGCTGATACTCAGTGATAGCTGAGATGTATTTTTATTTATCCAAATTTCAGTTATCCAAATTCGAGTTGGCGTCTATCATTCATGAACATTTTCTAAAGCGAGGCCCATAACCCTTTTAAATTATTTTTTGTTTGCATAAAATATGCGCATATTTTTTTGTATAGTAATTCCCCATGTACAGTGATAAACCAGCGAGCCTAATGGACACTATTCATTTATTAAATTACCTTATGGCGTAGTTTTTTTAAGCATAAATTATTTATAATGCAGGTCCAAAACAGAGCATATAGTAATTCTTCGGAACATGCGGTCCATATTGCAGATGATGCTAAAATTATATGTTTCATTGGCCAAAGGTCAACAAGTCAGCACAATTATTTTCCCTAAACTAAAGTCAGGTACCCATTAGACTTGGGTGGAATCAGGGGCGCCCTAAAACCCCGAAATTTAAAATCCCAGTCTTCACCGAGATTCGAACTCAGGATCATAGGCTCGAAAGCCAAGCGCTCAACCACTAAGCCCCCGCAACCCCAGAGAATATAGTAAAAACTTTTTTTCCTCTGCCCCCATATCCCTTTCTAAAAGACGTATTTGTTTCAGATCATCAATAAAAATTATTGTCAGTAGAGGGAAGAGGTTTTGAATTTGGAAGCTCATAAAAAAACAAACAAGCTGACGATTACAAAACGAAACAAATTAAAAAAAAACCTAGACTGAATATTTTCTCATCTCATTGTATTTTACGAAATATTAAAGATAAATGTTTGTATTGGAGAGAAAAAAAACAGACACAAATATTATTATTATTATATATAAAATATGCAACAGTTGCACAGTTGAATTAAATGTATGTTATATGTTGGTAAGTTGTATCTTCATATGTTTTTCACTACAGAACACTCAATAACCATTTCAAAGTTCCCACAACATATTAATTTTATTTTCATTTTTTTTTGTTTCAATTTCAATACGATAGTTGGAACGAAATCTACTATAACATTGAAGAAGCTTAATTATTACAAATTTTAATCAATAACAACCATTGAACAAGTCAACACAAGAATTCTTTACAATCTAAACGATAAACCAGTTGCCATATTAGCAGAATTACTATTGAACTATCATAATCTTATAAAAGACATAGAATCTGACCCTTTTTTAATTTGTACCTCTAAAGAGAAGAAACTCACAGCCAAGTCTTTTCATAGGCTCAGGTCGTTCTTAAATAAACTCCCACATGTATTGTCTCCATTTTCTACGTTAGGTACTAGGTACTTTGTTCTTATCTAGATGAATGGTTACGTCAGATCAACATCATATGCACAACATTACGTAACAGGACATATACTCATAATGCATTCAGTAAGAAATATATCTTATGAAGAAATGAATATTTAAGCAATAGTTCACAATAAGTTAATCAGTGGGATTTCATATATCAGAAATACATCAGAAATGAGTAAAGGGTGACTTCTAATGAACCAGGTCGTTCTGAGCATCAAGTACTTATGAGAACTTAACCCATTACGTTTCATGTACAGTGCTTGTAGTGCGGGAAAGACAGTAAATTGGGTGAATGGGTGGCAAGGATTGGACCAGCATATCCTCTGCAGACTAAATACAGGTTACCATTAAGATGGATGGCGTGAAATTGTAAAAGACTTAGCATTGGGTACCTAAAGGGTTACGAGATAAAAGATGACATGGTTAAAAAAAAAGAAAATTTCCACCTGTGCCAGCACAGCAAAAAAATATTTTCTTCAAGCTACTTGTCATCAGCGTGAATGGGATGGACAAAGGAATGGCATTAGCACGTAGCTTGATTAGTCTTAACTACGTGTGACACGCGCGCATTTTGAGGTATGCGAACGGATTGCTTGGACTAACTAGTTTCATACCAAAATACTCATAGACTTGAACAACGAATCACATACATGTATGTACATAAAAAAAAGTCTTAGGCATAAAAAAAATTGATAAGAAAAAAAAATATTTAAAGAAAGCAAGTCTATGTCATGTAGTTCCCATTTTGTATGCTCCTCCTCCTATCCCCCTTTATCTAGCTTGTTCTCAGGATAACATTTACAAAACTTCCTATGCCGAACCTGTCATTCGGTCTGATCACTTCTGAGGTTTTTTTATGCACTATAGGCAGAAGTCTCAAGGGACCGGGTATAGCTAGAGGGCCGTAGGTTGTGCATCACTGACATAAATATATTGGTTAAGATTCGCTCTACTGTTAATGTAGTCAAAAATCTTCCTAGGTGGTTGATCATGGAGATTAGGTCACGTGAACAACAAACAAGGTGGTTAGTAAAAGTTTACACACAAACAAAAACGAAACAATGTACAGTTGAATATGGACTTAGCAGCCAGGAAGCTACTTTAAAAAAAAGACTTAATGTGGACCACACAACATAGAACAATTTATATCCATGAATAAAGGTAAGCATTCTAACATCTGGTATTTGACACCAATATGAATGATCTAAAATCACGAAACATGCAGCGATAAACAGTCAGAATTAATTAACATAACAGAATTATAGATATATTTAACTTTGCAAAATAGAAACCTACGTTTGAGTCATTTTATAAAAGAAAAACAGTTATAAGATTTATAAGATAAGATGACAGATGAATAACAATGTACGCAAATGTATGCCTAATTTGTTGAATATTTCGTAGCTATTCCGCTATTTGATTAATACGATTAAAGTTTAGACTATAAAGGTTTGTGATTGAAACACTTACAATAAAAACATTTAAAATATTTTTTTTTAAAAAAAGATAATTCCTCCTTTAAGCAACTTATTGAGCGATTATTTTTCTATTGAAAATTTAAAATGTTAGCTTTAAAAACATTTTTTACCCCCCCCCCCCTCCTTTTTTAACCCTTCTCCCCGTGAAAGAATCCTGGTTATTGATAAAGTACACCTTTTAATATTCCAATGATTTCAGAAGACTGGGCACAATATTCCTCAAACTTTTGAATCAATAAAGCCTTACATTCGGAAATCACCGAACGCGATAGTCATTTCAAAACCGATGTAGGATCTAGACCTAGATTTAGTCTCTAACCAAATTTACATTTATTTGTTTTTACTTTGAAACATTATAACGATCAAACTAAAGTTGTACACATGTGGCCAACAAGCTAATCATTTTTTTCTCAGCGATATACATCATTTTCTAGGAAAATGGTTATAGCCATTTTTGAGATCAGCTCTCCGCCCACCCACCCAGGTTCCATTGCTAAGATCAATATCGCTCGGTGACAATTGATGATTGCCTTTCGTTACCTCATCAGTTTGTTTCATTAATTAAACACTATTCCTAGATCTAAGTTTCACCTTGATCGGCATATGGAAGGATATGAATTTGTTTTTAAAAAAATGTTGACTAGGCAAATAATCAAGAGTTAGACTAATTAGCTAACATTAATTAATTATAGATACGTGTCTCTAACTAAATTCGCTCAGAAGTAAAGCTTGCTCCTTTGTCATGTCTTTGTCATTGCACCGATCCCCAGAGCAGAAGCAGGTGATGCTGTTGTCTTGGAGTCTAAGACATCCATTGGTGGGGACATTGAAAGGGAAGTAATAGTTGTTGGAACAACTTCGTTTCACGTCTGACAAAAAAATAATGAGGTAACAATTTACGGTTGAAACGTCATTAATAGTAAATGGCATAAACTAAATGAATGGGCTCTAAACTTCGATCTAATCGTTTGGGCTAAATAGTGAAATGGTATTAAATTGTAAGAGAGAGAGAGAGAGAGAGAAAGGGAGAGAACGATAAAGATATTTCGTGACAAGGATAGGTCACACCCTTCGCAAGCCTGCATCCGACATAACAAGGCAAGCCCCAACCTGGAACTCCCAAGGATAGAAGAGGGGACGGCCCAGAAATACATGGCGCCGTGATTTGGAAGCAGATGCCTAGCAGATGGGTAAGATTTGGGGACAGTTGGACAGACTCGACCAGAACTGAGACGCCTGGAGGAAGCTGGTTGGTGGCCTATGCCCCAGAAGAGACCACAGGCAGAGATGAGATAATCAATATAAAAATAAGGAAAATGTGATTGAATATAGATTTAATAGTAGTCTAATGGGCTCATTCTCTAGAATTATTTAAATGCTGCATCATTAAAGTCTTCAAAAGAGGGTAAGAGTCTTCATAAAAATTCTGGAAAGAGCCTCCACTTAGGTACCTAAATTAAGTCCTCTAACTACACCAATTAGCTTTTATGGTCTGTGTAATAAATATAATTACGTACACGCATATATTTATTTATGCCTTTGGGACATTTTGATATGTCTTCTGACACTGTTCGTCTTCAACTTATGGAAGAGACTTGTTTACAGACTTTTTACAACTCCAAGAACTAAAGATTTAAAATCTTTTAAAAGAGACGTACCTCCGAGTGGCCACCTCGTCACTGTCATAATGCATGGGCCATTGCATCGGATCGTTTGTTTCGCCCAGTCTTGCAGTTTACCGCTTGTTGGGCAGGCCTTATTCTGCCAGTAGCCATAGGCTCCACTGTTGCATTCGTAGCACTCGAACGGTAGGATTGACGAAATTGAAGCTGTTGCTGTTTTCGTTGTGGTGGCGGTTGTTTGTTCCGGTGTGATAGTCGCAGGCTCTGCTGGAAGTGTCGTTTGTTCTAAGATAGTTGTCGATTCTTCTTGGAGAGTTGTCAGTTCTTCAGTTGTGACGGATTTTTCTGTGGTTGATTGTTCAGTGGTACTTGTTGATTGCTCAGTGGTACTTGTTGATAGCCCAAAAGTACTTGTTGATAGCTCAATGGTACTTGTTGATTGTTCAGAAGTAATTATCGATTGTTCAGTAGTACTTGTTGATAGCCCAGTGGTACTTGTTGATCGCTTAGTGGTACTTGTTGATTGTTCAGTGGGCATTGATTCTAGTGTGCTATTAGCCCACTGTTCTAATGTGATGTTGGCGTCAGTTATAGTAGTAGCTGATTGCTCTATGGTTATTGTAGATTGATCTGCAGGTGTAGTTGATATTTCTGTTGTATTAGTTAACTCTTCTGATGTAACAGAAGATTCATTGGTTGTATTCATAATGTATGTTACTGCTGTGGTTGAGTTTTCTGTCCATTGTAATACTTCTTCTGAGACAGTGGTTGACTCATATGTCATATTTGTTAACTGACTAGGAGTTTTGGTTGATTCTTCTGTAGTATCAGTTAACTGTTCATTTGTGCTATTTGAAGCTTGCTCAACACTCGTGGTTGATTCATTTGTTGTAGTTGTCAACAGTTCAGATGTAGTGGTAACTTCATTTGTGGTATTCACTAATTGTTCAGTAGTTACTGTTGATTTGTCTGTAGTAGTGGTCAGCAGTTCAAAAGTTGGAGTTAAATCTTCAGTAGTATTGAAATGTTTTGAAGTAGTAGTTGATTCTTCAGTGTAATTTGTAAATTGTTCAGACGTAACGGTTGAGTCGATGGAAATATTTGTTGACTGTTCATTTGTTGTTGATGGATTTTCGGTTGTATTTATCCACTGTTCTGATTCTTTTGTAATATTTGAAGAGTTTTCAGACGAAGTGGTTGATTCTTCTGTAATAGTTGAAGAGCTTTCAGACGTTGTGGTTGATTCTTCTGTAATATTTGAAGAGTTTTCAAATGTAGTGGTTGATTCTTCTGTAATATTTGAAGAGTTCTCAAATGTAGTGGTTGATTCCTCTGTAATATCTGAAAAGCTTTCAGACGCAGTGGTTGATTCTTCTGTAGTATATGAAGAGCTTTCGGATGTAGTGGTTGATTCTTCTGTAGTATTTGAAAAGAAAAAGTGTTCAGTTGTAGTGAATGGTGCATCCGTGATATTTTTTAATTCTTCAGAAGTTGTGACTGATTCATCGGTTATATTTGTCAACAATGGGGTTGATTCCGTTGTGCTACTCTCCCATTTATCTGAAACAGAAGTCATGTCGTCTGAGTTATTAGCCAGATTTGTAGTTATTGGTCCCTCAAATACATTAGTCGTGAGCTGTTCATATGAAGTCGATTCTTCTGTGCTATTTGTTAAGGGCTCAGATGTAGTGATGGAATCGTCTGTATTATTTATAAAATGTTCTAAAATTTTTGTTGCATTGGCCAACTGGTCTGAAGCAATCGTTGTTTCTTCTGTGGTATAAGTCAATTGATCAGAAGTAGGGGTTGTGTTTTCGAATACATTTGTGGTTAACTCTTTAGCTGTAGTGATTGACTCGACAGATGTATTTACCAATTGTTCAAAAGCAGTTGTTGATTCTTCTGTGGTATTTGTCAGTTGATCAAAAGTAGTGTTACTTTCGTCTGTTGTATTTGTCAAGTGTTCAGAAGTAGTGATCGGTGCCTCAAAGACCTCAGTAAACTGTGTAGATGTAGTAGTGTATATTTCTGTAGTATTATTTAAATGTTCATAAATATTGGTTGATTCTCCTGTTGAACTAATTAAATGTTCAGAAGTAGTTGTTGAAGTGTCTGAGGTATTAGTGAACTGTTCTGGTGTACTGAAGGATTTTTCTGTAGTATTCGTCATCTGCTCAGAAGTAGTGGTAGGTTCTTCAGTCCTGTCTGTTAACTGTTCAGAAGTAGTGGTTGATACTTCAGTAGTGTTTGTCAAGTGTTCAGATGTACTAAATGATTCCTCCTCAGTTGTATTTTCAAACTGCTCTAATGTAGTGTTAACCTCCTCTGTTGTATTTCTCAAGTGATCTGGAGTAGCATTAGATTCTTTGGTCGAATTCACAAAAGGCACATTTGTTGATACCTCGACAGTTTTAGTTTCTTCTGTAGTGGTAACACCACTAGTAGACGTTGTGGTTGTAGTCGTGTCTGGCGTTTTGATGGTAGTGGCTGTAGTGTCTGGACACACTAATGTTTTATAGGGTTTAAACATCCTTTCCAGGGCATTCAACAAATCTATGTCAGCATGCGCGGCACAAGAAGTATTCGCTGCCTGGACCAAACAAGTTGTGTACCCGTCAGGCAACCTGTCAGGCAGAAGACATAGGCGTATATTTAGACATAGTCATAAACATAGACACAAATGTTAATTTAGACATAGTTGTATATTTAGACATATATGTATATTTAGACTCAGGTGTATATTTGGAAATATGTATACATTTAAACATAGGCATGTATTAAGACTAAGACCAAGTATACTTAGACGTAGGCGTATATTAAGACATAGGTGTATATATAGACATATTCGTCTGTAAACTAGTTTCTATTTTGTAAGGATTGAAGATCAAACGGAGTTAGAGTTTTTTCTGGAACGAAAAGAACATCTTCCCCAGAATCAAGTCAATTTAAATGCACATGATTTTCACAGCAAGCTGTCTTATTAAAATGTACATTACATTTGTGGAACTCTTATGAAAGAAACGCTGAGAAGTCTTGACAGAACACAAAAGCGAAAACATATGATTAGCTTTATGTAAATAACTAGATATGCAAATTTATTCGACCATATCAAAACCAATGGATCACGAGTTCATGAAGAATAAATAAAATAAGAATTCACACCGGAAGCGGAGCAGCAATAATTTCCACTTTAACAGTCAAAACGGAAAAATAGTGTTTGAATCAACCCTAATTAGCGCAAAACCTGGTTAAAATAAGTTAGAAAGAAAGTTTTGATGGTATCAATGACTGCTCTGGCTTATCGTACGCCGACGCATTAGGAACCAATAAAGGAGTTCACCCCTTCCGAGCAGATAATGGTAAGCCTACAGTGATAGAATAAAATTTAGCGACGCTGGAGCGTGGTTGTGCTACCAATGGGAGTAGCACTGCCATATATATATATATATATATATATATATCAGCCATACTATTGTAGATAATTTGATTAATATTACG